CCTTTCTTTCCAAGGCTCTGTATTTTTGTTTCCTTTATCCAAGCAATAGAGTAAGAAAATAAGAAATCTAACTTTGTTTTTAACAATGTGTGACTATCTGATCGGAGAATTATTCTATATCGATCAGAAAAATCTAACTTTGTTTTTCTTTTTATTGCCAAAATCTAATCAAACATTGTTAAAAATATATGGGTACAGTCAAAATCGAGCACTGGAATAAAATAAAGGTGAAGCACATGCCAAACTTTTATTTGTTCTAATTAATTCATTCATTCATTGAAGTCACCATCTTGGAATTCAACGACAAAACATAAAAATAATACCCCAAAAAACATTCCACACGTTTTCTTCAGATTAATGAACGAAAAGAAAAACAAAATTTACAGCAAAAGTTGTAAAAGCTTTAACCGGGTTGCATAAAACAGTGAACAGGTTCATGGTATCATGTTGGATCCACTCAGCTCAGGTTGTATAAAGACTACGCAGATAGTAGATTTTGAGCAATGTAACCAAATCACCACGAAACATCCTTAAACATAAATAATAATAATAATAATAATAATATCAAGTTGTAATGTATCTAACCATTGACTTATACCACAAATACTACGTTTATGATCTGTATATACCTAACCATTTTCGAATTTAAAAACACTCACAGCTTCAACCATTGGCCATTGGCCAGGCTGGAGCCCATGGTAGCTAAGCATATGCAACGGCACACTGGAACTAAAAATACTTTTAAAAATATCAATCTGAAATCTCATCAAAGTTTCTCCCTTCAATATAATAATAATCTTCATCCATCAAAGAGAAGCTAATGACTGAAAAAAATGGACCCCAAAAGGGGGACCCAATAATGCACAATAAGATAAGAACTTGGGATTTTTATTAAAAACTTTAGGGTTCTGCAACAACCAGCATACATCCAAATCATGCATTAATTTATGAAGACTATAAGTAAGTTGGAAACACAGCACAGCAGTCAGCCCCTTTATAATTTGAGCTCAACTATGTATCTACTCTGTTTCTGGGTGTACATTGGCCTAACAATGAACACAAAACTGGACAACAACTAAATGCATGTGGCAAACAGAGTATTATAATATTTTCATCTAGAGTGGGGGCAGAGGGAACATGAGGCATGTTATAGCCCAATCTAATTGGACCACTAAGGAATATCCAAATGCCCATCCACCCTTTTTTAAACAAGATCCTCTCTGATGATGATTCTGGAAAATACATATAGACATCTAGGAAATAATAATGTAACTAAAAAAAAGGAGATGCTGCAGACACAATTATTTTTCAATTTTCTTTTTATTCTGAATGTTCAATTCTTGTTTATTTGAGTGTTTGCACAATCATTACAGCTCATCTGTTTCAGAACTTGGAGTAACAATTTTTCAAGAAAGCAAAGTATATGCTAAATGAAACTCATAACTGCATACAGAAGAAAAGCATCAATAATACAGTTTGCAGGCAGAGAGTATTTGTGGACTGCACAAAACTGAACCATGAAACCAGTTAATAGAATTCCAATTAAACTGTCCCCAGAACAGACCCAACCATCAAAGCATTAGAAAGATATTCGTGTATTGTATGACTATTGAACTAAACTACCCTATAACAGAGCTTTAACCAATAGTTTGGGTATAAAGTTAAACGTGTCTGAATACATGAGTACTACAAGAAAGTATAACATTAGACCAACAGAAGAAGTAACTCTGTATTAGAAAAATGTTTTATTAAATGTAACAAGATGACATTACTCTGTGACAGTTCAACAGAAAAGATTAAATAACTACAAGGATTCTACTAAAAATGGTTTTCAAGGAAAGAAGAACTACTTTCCTTGTGAGCGTACTGAAATTAGTGTTTCTGGCTGAATTCAAAGGTACCTGTTGTCACCATGAAAGCTTTTACCGTCTCCGCAGCGGGCGCTGAAAAACAGAAAATATAGTTAATAAACCCTTATTAACTGTATGTCTTGTGGGGTATGTGTGTGTGTGATTTCTTCATTAGAGAAGACTGGCAATCACTTTGTTTGATGACAAAGCATGCATATCTTACAAACATAAAACACCTAAGATATCCAGGGCGAAATAATCAAAAGGAAACTTCACAGTTGGAAAAATGTAACATTGTCACAATTGTTAATAGAACAAATTGTCACTACTGTAGTTCCACCTTCATTGACTTTATTAAGCAAAGAAAACCAAAGAGTATGGATCACAAAGGAACATATTTCTTGTGTGTGTTTGTGCCACATATCTTTTATAGACAAGATTGAGTAAGTAACTAAGATTAGTAACCAATTCAGGACCATTAGATCTCTTTTCTGGGCCAATATTTTAGTTTTATTTATGGAAGTGCTTCACCTTCCACAATCCAACTAAGAAAAAAAATAATAAAAGAGTACCAAGGGCATAAGCACATACTCTTTGTATGTTATCAGTTGCTTGTGGCCGTCTGGCAGACATTGCCTCTGGATTTGGAACCAAATCTGGACTGCCATGCTTATAAAAGGCCTCAAATGGGCGAACAACATTCACTTCCATTGCAGATAGATTTTTGACCTGCAATTACAAATCAAATCAACTTAGGAACACCAATCAAAAAGGAAAAACAATGCATCAAAATACGGAAATGATAAATTCTACCGTTAAATCCCATCATGCTGAAAAGGTTAGTCAGACAGAAAATTTTGTAAATCCTAATACTTTAATTTTTTTTTCAAATCCCATCTTGAAAATTCTCAGTACTATCAAATGCACCATAAAGAAAGACACATACCTTCACTGCAGAAGAGCGAGCATCCTCGAACGATTCTAAACTACTTTCGACCTTAAGAAACCTCGCATCCCTTATGTCATTAATAAGAGATCTCACCTATTAGAAAGAACTATAATGAGGCCATTGCAAAATACCAATGAATAGTTAGATATAGGTTGAAAGAATCTTCAACTCACCATATATAGGTCAGGAATGTCACCAGATGCACTATCATCAAGAAAAAAAGTTAGAGCTGATATCGACATACTTGTACAATAAAATATAGAATATGTACAATGTTCAGTACTTACTAATCAAAAAGAAGGCTTGAGATTTCAACATAATGGAAAGGCAGGACTTGAAATGCTGCCTGAGACTCCCGCTCCGCTTCCAAAATCTGAGTCAAGTTTTCTAGTGTCAAAACAAAATCATGAGTTCACTTAGACAAATGGAAATTAAAGTTTTTTTTAAAAAAAACATATCAAATACACATTGAGAACTAAAATGTAAACAGAAGTTGCTTTTGGCAATGATCAAAACCCAAAATCAGTCTGATATGGGTTACAGAGTTTAGTGCTTTTCGATTCTCAGAAGTGCTTTGTGAACTAATGCATTACATAGAAAATTATAAAACACCGTCATTTACACTCTCAACTTTTATAGTGGTTAGATGAAATCCAGGTAGTGATGTTGTTATCACCCCTGATCATCCCTAATTCTCATGACTTCCTTAATTGCATAGCATCTGAATGAAACACCACCAACAATTCCAACAACTAATGTTGAGTGACTTTGGCAAGAGAGTCTCAATTATTCAGTAAAGCATGACTAATTTGATCATCTCTTGAAGTCATTTATTTTTTGTAGAAGGATAAACCTAAAAACTCTTAACATATAACTGCTGATACCTAAGACTCACATAAAGAATTCCAACAAAACACACATTACTCTATGGCAGCCAAAAGAAGCAAAACATATTTTGAATATTCCCCAGGAAAAGAGTAGTGTTAATGGAACCCATAATCAATCCAAAATCAAAGCATAATAACTTTACTAGACCCAAACAATCTATTTCCTCGAAATTCTAGAATAATGGGTGGCAAACATGGAACCATAAATCAAACTAATGCTAAAGAAGCAAGACTCACCGACGGACATCCACTCTGGGGGTCGAATTGTACATTTCCCTCTCTTCTTCAGAGCAATTGCCAGCCACATCGGTACTTGGGTAGCCATTTGTGGGTAGAATGGACCAAAATCTCCCTGTAAACCATGATAAAAGTTACCCATCTGCATAAATCTACTTAAGCTGCGATATAAGAACATGTACAAAGTGAAGAACATACACAGAGCATATTGAGAGGCTCCATTCTCATATTGGGGACGATCTCCACCATTTCATCTTCAGCCATAAACTCAACCTGAGCTTTTGAAATTTCAAATTAATTTCACAGAAATGAGCGAAATAGAAAACAAAACAACCAAATTAAGCCAAAATTACAGATGAACACATAATGGGAGAGAGCTAAACCTCTTCTCCGGAAAATATAGAAACATTTGGATCAGATTGGCCGGCCATCCCTTGAATTATTCGGTCCGATGAAGATTTTACACTAATATCGGCTCAATTTGAGTTGAATGAAGTCAAATAGGGTCGAAGATTGGGCCTATCTGCTGGAATTGCACAGACGCGTGTGTGATAAATGGCGGTGCATAATTGGTACTTGAGAGAAACCCTAATGTCTGGTGGCGGGAAAATCGATTTTTTCGTGCTTAATAGACTTTGAGTTTTGTTCGCTTTTGAAATTTTACTATCGACTGGCGTGTGCTGGCATGCCCCAAACCAAAATTTGGACTTTGGGTCGGGCCGAACTAATCTTGTCGGACTTCGAATGTTTTGAGCTGAGTTAAATTAGTTAGGGGTGTGAAGGGCCCAAATCTTAAGGTTGGTGTGTTTAGATGAGGGGGTTGGAGAGGTGCATTAGGGTTTAAAAGGGGATTCACAATCTCATTTTGCTAAAGTGATTTGTCTAGATCTAGGGTTCATCTAGTAACGTTTTATGAATCTGTTCTTGAAAAACATTTGCATTGTAAATCTATGTTAGAATGGAGTTTTAATTTTAAAATCTCATTTTAAGTTATGTATAAATTCAACAACAACAAAAAGTTTCTTTTGAGATAGGTATTGCTTCAAAAAAAAAAAATTGGTAATTTCTTTACAACATGACTCAGTTCAACTTCAAGGCTAAGACATGAACTCAGAATCATAGACCTTGACAACCATAATGCATACCTAAACTCCTCTTCCTTTCCCTGTGGGTGGGACTCTATAGGATTGATATCCATGTCTAAAATATTGATAGTTTCAAAAATATCGGTGTTCTCAAAACACAAAAATTTTGATGGAAATATCAGAAAGTTATCGATATCGATAAAAATTGAATAAAAAACATGGAATTTTTTATTGAAACTTTGGAGACTGTTTATTTATTCAATTATCTATTAGTTTATCACACATAATTGGAAGAAAATGCATTGCATGATGAGTTTAACTTATTTTAGTTGATTATATAGTGAGCAAACACTGCGAGTATAGAAAGTATGTAGTAATTAAAGAAAGAAGATTAAACACACCATAATCATTTATTTATAATGATTTACTATAATATTTTACACTTTATACATCGCATAGTAAGATACATGAGTACCTCAGTACCACATAGAGTTCCTATGAGCACTGGCGGACTCAGAAATTTTTTAGCAGATGTGCAATATTGACTATGTATGAAAAATGGTTTTTCGGAATAATCATTTTCTCAAGATAATTTTTGGCGGCTTTTATTCCTTACACATCAAATAAGAAAACTTGATTTTATGAGATTTTAGTATGAAGTATATATTGACTTAATGAGCCATCATTTTTAGTCTAAATCGTATTTTGCACTAAAACCGAATTTTCATATTTTGATTTGGTGGGAATTTTATTTTCTAGTATTTTTATTTGAATCCAAATGGGGGGTACTTCCTTATTTACATTGTAAACTTAAGTAAATGGAGTAATATACAAATAAATAAAAGTAAAATGACAAAGACATTTACTTAAATGTTGAAAATGAAAATAAGGTAATCTATACACCAGTTGAGCAAAGGGACAATTTGAAGCGCCTACAATAGTTTTTTCGGTGAAGGGAGGTGCAGCTGCACCTCCTTGCGCCTTACTAGGTCCGCCAGTGCCTATGAGTAACTTAGTACCACATAAAGTTCATATGGTGTTCAAATTTTTCATTGTCTTCATTATATCGATATTTTTGCTAAATGTTTTTGAAGCATGTGAGAAATTATCGACGTCGATATTTCTCAATATTATCGATAATTATACGATATATGTATGGATATGTTCCAAAATTTCATAGACCTAAAAAACGATAATATCAGCAATATTTCGTCGATATTATTGATTAGTCCTTGCTTACAACTATACCCACAAATCTCTGTTAGAAATTGTTGTTATGGTTGGCAAAGAGATTGCAAAATCACCATCTTGCGGTTTTGTTCAAACAAGTAAGAAATAATCTTAGCCTCTCATATTCTTTCATAGTTAGTAAAATAAAACGGGAAAAACATGAATAAAATATGTATGTGTTTTATTCTGCAAAATTTTGGCAAATTACAATTGAAAAATTCGGCCATTATATAATATTTTTATTCAATAATATGTGAAAATTATGTATATAATACATGAAAATGATAAATTCTTTATATAAATAATAACTGTGGAAAAAATAAAAAATCAAAAGGGTACAATAGAGACTCGAGTAATTGCCTAATAGTAATGAATAATATTTTATACTACTCTTATCGATAAACAAAAATGGAAGAAAAAAACCAAACAAAATTAAGTTTTATCACGATGATAGGTCAAATAAACAAATAAATTTATAAATATTTGAAGAATAAAACTCATGTGATTTGAAGTGTGCACGGTCTAGTAAGAATGGGCGGGCTTATTATTGATCATATAGCCCCAGGGCATGCTTGTGGACCTTGGATAACATAATTGCGGATATTAAAAGTATAGATGAGCGGTTATATTATATAAATATAATATTTTAAAAGTATATATGAGAATTATTTGTATAATACGTGAATTGTATGTGTCTTATTGAAAATTTTGTAAAAAATAAGGGTATTAAACATGAGAACTATGTACATACATGTACAATACGAGTATTGTATGTTTTTTTTTTTTTAACATGAATCTTACCTAGTCTTTAAGAAGTGTATAGAACATGCATGTATTATTGAAAACTACATACATACATGTATAGTAGAGTATTAATCTTGAAAGTTCTAAATTTTTTATACGGGTTAGAAAAGTAAAAATTAAAAGGGGATAATAGAGACTCGGGTAATGGTATAATATTAATGGATAATGCCATAAACTACTCTTATCGATAAACGAAAATTGGGGAAAAAATTTAAAAGAAAAAAAAGATCCCAATATATATAGTATAGCCGCTCGGCTATACTATTTATTAAAGGAAACCAAAAAAGACCTAGTAACGCAGCACGGTTATACTATTGTTTTGAAAAATTAAAAAAATCGAGTCTAGCCAGGTGGCAATACTATTTATTTAAAAAAAAACACAGCAGCCGCACGGAGACTGGGTGCGCACGTGGTAAAAAAAGTATAGCCGTGCGGCTATACTAAACAGCGTAGGCTGTACTATTTTTTAAAAAGTGGACCCCATAGCGATTAGGCGCCACATGTCAAAATAAGTGTAGCCGATCGGCTATACGATTTATTGATTAAAAAAAAGAGTAGCCGCACCCGTTAAAAGAAGCATTGCTGAAACCGAGTATAGTCGCGCGGATGTACTATTTTTGGGGAAAAATAGAAACACCGAAGATAGCCGGGCGGCTATACTGTTTTTTTAATTTTAAAAAGAGGACATCTGGCGGTTAGGGTGCACGTGTCAAAATAAGTATAGCCGACCGGCTGTACTTTTTTTAATTTTAAAATCATAGTTTAACCGCACGGCTATACGGTTTAAGTACATTGTCTTTAAACGGTATAGCTGTGCGGCTATACTATTTAATAACAAACTATGTAATACTGTTTAAATACATTATCTTTAAATGTTGCATTAGTTTATACTTCATAGATATTAATTTGCTAGTTTCAACATATCCAAAACAGATATTAATCGGCCGCTATATAATTTTTTTAATATATATGATTTTTATTCGATAATATGTGAGAAAAACAAATCTCCTGCATTAAATTCTCAGTCAAAACATAATCTCCTATAATTGAATATGTTACCCTTTGGCTACTCTATATGTAACATAGGCTATTTTGTTAAGCAAACTCACAAAATGCATAGTTTGCAATTTCTCTAAGAGCTTTGTGGATAAATTAGTGAAACTAACAGACATCAGTAATGACTCAACTAGAAAAACAACATTCAAGAAAAGGAAGAAGGGTTTGATGAAGAAGGTGAATGAACTCCGAGTAGGTTTTTCCGTTAAGCAAACTTACAAAATGCCTAGTTTGCATTTTTCATTTCATTTTCGTTGAGAGCCATGTCTAGAAAGAAGGTGAAACTACCCTACATCAGTAATGACTCAACCACAACACACTCAATTCGGAGAAGACGGGAAGGAAATGAGTATTAGCCAAGATCGGAAAAATTATGGTGTAAACAACAATATGGAACATCCAATATTGGTTTAATATACAAAATGAATAGTTGACAATGACATGCTACAAAAGCAAAATGTCAAAGATGCACGTAGGATAGGAGGAGGGTGACAACACACCAAACGCATGTACCAACCTGAAGCATGATATTCATCTTTAAACTAAGGAAAACAAAAAGAACCTTAAGCATGACTTGTTTGTGGATATGAAATTCAACAATCAAATAAAATACATGAATTTAAAACTCGACGCATGCGTTTACTAGTAAGCAGCAACCAAGCCAAGACTGGTCGGTGTAACTAAACACAAAGGCATGTCCTACAACAGGAAACCCCGCATGCGCATAGTGCAAAATTCAACGCATTACTTAAACAAATTATATAGAAAAAAGAAAAAAAAAAGAAGAAGTCATTTTTACAAAGAAGAAAAATAGTTAACACTATGTGGGACGATTAGAAAAAATACACAGATTATACTTTCATTATAGTTACTTACAAATAAAACTGTTAGAAGGTCAATGAGATATAACTCAGTCAAAAAGGCATTAATTTAAAAATCATTGGTGTCATGTTTGAATCTTTATGAATCTATGATATCTTAACAGTGAAATGTGCTGTTGTGGATTAGAGCAGTTAGTCAAAATAGTAAATCCGTCCCCTTACACCCATGTTTGACCCCCCTCGCCATATATTAGAGTACTTTCGAACATTGCATTGTAAAAAAGGAACAAAAAAAGAAGGTTTTTTGGCAATTTAATAAAGATTTAACATTTTGCAAGCCCTTAGCCTAGGTCCGATGACCGGTGGCCTTATGTGGTTGGGCTGTGGCCCATATGAATTACTGTGTACTAAAATCCATGGACTGAGCTTCCCTTGGCTCCACCTAATCCGCTAATAACCACCCACGTCTTGTGCCGCGGGAACAAGAATACCCGTGGGCCATCGCACTCACCTTTTTAAGACTACATCTCGATAGACGAAGCTGTCCCTCATCCATTAAGCATATTCCAGATTCTCTTGGGCCAC